ATTAATTGAGCATATTGTCTTGGATCGTTTTCTGGGTTCTCTATTCTATTCCATCAATCTATATGCCTGTTCTTGTGCCAGTACCAGGCTGTTTTGATTACAGTGGCTTTGTAGTATAACCTGAAATCAGGTAATGTGATCTCTTTTACTTTGTTCTTTTTCTTTTTTCAAGATTGCTGTAGCTATTTGGGGTCTTTTTTGGTTCCATATACACTTTTGTAGTATTTGTTCTAGTTCTGTGAATTATGTCATTGGTATTTTGATGGGGATTGCATTGAATCTATAGATTGCTTTTGGTAGTATGGACCTTTTAATGATGTTAATTCTTCCAATCTAATGGATTTTTATGGCGTCTTTAGGGTTTTCTATGTACAATATCATGCCATCTGCAAAAAAAATGACAGTTTCACTTCCTCTTTGTCCATTTGGATCTTTTATTTTTTCTTCATATCTAATTGCTATATACTAAAATTTCCAGTATTATGCTAAATAAGAGTAGCAAAAGTGGGAGTCACTCTCTTGTTCCTGTTCTTAAGAAAACTGCTTTCATTTATTGCCCATTGAGTATTGTGTTGGCTGTAGGTTTTTCACATATGGCCTTTATTATGTCAAGATATGATCCCTTTATTCCCCCATTGTGTAGTGTTTATATCAGAAATGGGTGCTGGATTTTGTCAAATGCTTTTTCAGCATCTATCGATATAATCACATAATTTTATAATTTCATTTAAGGGGTATATCCCCTTTATTGATTTGTGAATATGGTACCAGACTTGCATCCTTGGGGTAAATCCCACTTGGTCATTGTGAGTAATTGTTTTAATGTATCACTGGATACTATTTACTAATAATAATTTGTTAAGGGTTTTGGTATCTAAATTCTTCAGGGATATTGGCCTGTAGTTTTATTTATTTGTGGTATCTTTATCTGGTTTTAAAATTAGGATTATCCTGGCTTCATAAAAATCGTTCAGGTCCTGGCGAGTTTGGTTCAGTGGTTGGAGTGTTCGCCTGTGAACCAGAGAGTCCTGGTTTCAGTTTCCACTAGGAGCACGTACCTTGGTTGCAGTTCATCCCTGGCCCTGTTTGAGGTTCTTGGGTGGCAGCCAGTCAATGTGTCTCTCTCACATGCAAGTTTTTCTCTCTCTCTTTCCCCCTTTCTCCCTCCTGCTTAAAAAAAAAAAAAAAAACAAAACAAACAGAAAAAAGAATGTTTGTAAGTCTTCCTTTCTCTTGAATTTTGTGGATTAGTTTGAGAAGAATGGTTATTAGTTCTTTGAATGTTCAGTAAAACTCAGCTGTGAAGCTGGCTGGGCCCAGGCTTTTGTTTGATGGGAGTTTTTTTTTTAATTACATCTTCAGTTTCCTGAGTTGTTATTGCTCTGTTCAAGTTTTATGTCTCCTCCCATTTCAGTTCTGGAAGACTACGATTTTAAAAATTTGTCCATTTCACCTAGCTTTTCTAATTTGTTAGCATATAATTGTTCATAGTATTTTTTAAGAATCCTTTGTATTTTTGTGGTGTCAGTTATTTCTCCACTTTCATTTCTGATTTTGTTTATTTGGGATTTGGGTCCTCTCTTTTTTTTTTTTTTTTGGTAAGTCTGGTTAAGGGTAAATCAATCTTTTTAAGTTTTCAAAGAACTGGCTCTCTGTTTCACTGATCTTTTGAATTATTATAATTATTATTTTTAGTCTCTACGTCATTTATTTCTGCTCTGACCTTTACTATTTATTTTCTTATACTTGCTCTGGCTCTATCTTTTTCTTTATTTTCTTGTTCTTTTGGGTTAGTCAATTCAAAATTTTTCTTGTTTCTTGAGGTAGTCCTGTAGTGTTACAAACTTCCCTCAGGACTGCTTTCGCTGCATCCCATAGATTTTGTGTTCATTTTCATTGGTTTCCAGGAAGTTTTTAATTTCTTCCATGGCCAACTTGGTAACCCATTAATTGTTTAATAACATGCTAATTAACCTCCAGGTGTTTGAATGACTTGCGTGTTTTTATTTTAATTAATTTTCAGTTTCATGCCATTGTGACCTGAGAAGATGCTTCATATGATTTCAATCTTCTTGAACTTGTAGAGACTTAGTTTGTGTCCTAATATATAGTCTATTTTTGAGAATGTCCCATGTTCACTTGAGACGAATATGAATTCTGTAGTTTTGGGCTGTAATTTTCTGTAAATATCTATTCAATCTGTTTGATCTAGTGAATCATTTAGAATCTCTGTTTTCTTGTGCATTTTATGTCTAGAGGATCTATGTAGTGATGTCAGTGGGGTGTTGAAGTTTCTGCTTTCATTGTATTGTTGCTGAGTTCTCCTTTGAAGTTCTCCAGAAGTTTTTCATTATACACTGATGCTCTTATATTGGGTGCATGTATGTTTACAAGGTTATATCCTCCTTTTGGATAGATCCTTTCAATATTATGTAGTGGCTTTCTTTGTGTCTAATTATGGCCTTCGTTTTGATATCTATTTTTATCAGATGAGTATTGCTTCCCCAGCTTTTTTTCCCCTTTCCATTGCTTTGAAAATATTTTCCATCTCTTCACTTTCAACTTATGTGAGCCTTTTATGAAGACGCTCTCTTGTATGCAATATATATGTGATTCATGCTTTTTTATACATTCAACTACTCTTTGTCTTTTGATCAGATCATTCAATCTATTTGCATATAAGATTCTTATTGAAATGTACTTAATTGTTGCCATTTTTATTTATTATGTTTATGTTTATCTCCCTATTTCTTCTGCTTATTACAGCAGTCCTTTTAATGTTTCTTGTAGCTTTTGTTTGGTGCTTCCATATTTCCTTACCTTTTTTTTTTTTACTAGGAATCTCTTAATTTCGCCTTCTATTTTGAATAATAGCTTTGCTGGGTAGAGCAGTCTTGGATTTAGATCCTTGTTTTTCATGACCTTGATTACTTCATGCCATTCTCTCCTGGCCTGTAGTATTTCTGTTGAGAAATCAGCTGATAGCTTTATGGGTATTTTTTTGTAGGCAACCTGCTGCTTATCTCTTGCTGACTTTACAATTCTCTCTTTGTCTCTAATATTTGGCATTTTAATTATGGTGTGTCTTGGTGTGGAACTCTTTGGGTTCTTCTTACTTGGAGCTCTCTGTGCTTCTTTTACTTGTATGCCTTTTTCCTTCACAAGTTAGAAAAGCTTTTGTTCATGATTTCTTCTAATATATTTTCTATTCCTTGTTCATTTTATTCTTCCTTTGGACCTCCTATGATGCAGGTGTTGTTAAGTTTCTTGTTGTCCCCCAGTTGTCTTAAGCTGTCTTCCTGTTTTTGTAACTGTCTTTTCTTTTTTGCTTCTCTGATTGGGTGATTTTTTTCTCTCCTGTGTTCTAATTCATTGACCTAGTCGTCAGCTTCCTCTACTCTCCTGATCATTCCTTCCAATGTGTTCTTTATTTCTGCTATGCCATTCTTTATTTCTGCTTAGTGGTTTTTAATTTCCAGTTGGTTGATTTTTATTGTTTGAAAATCTTTATGCATGCTGTTGAGCTTTCTCATAATCATTACTCAACTCTACCTCTGTTAACTTGTTTAATTGCATTTTATTTATCTGTTCTTCAGTTGGATTCTCTTCTTTTATTTGGGATCTGTTTCTTTGTTTCACCACTTTGGCTGTCTCAGTGAGTTTTGGAACCTACCGAATTTTACCTGTTGGTGTCAGCATTCTACCTGATTGTGGCTCCCCTCTATTGGGTTTGCATGTGTGTGGGAGGGCTTATATTAAACACCAATGTCTGGTCTTGCTTTCCTGCGTAGATTCTCAGGCCAAGTGAAGATTCAGTTATCCTTTGCTTTTGCCTGCAGGCTATTAGTTACAGTTACTTAATGAGCCTTGGGTTTTAGTCCTCAGCCAAATGAAAAATCCCTCAGGTAAACAGGGTAAGATGATTTCCAGCTGATGGGGCAATTGCTTGCTGGTAGCCTTTAGCTGTTAATGAGCCTCAATTTGCATTTCTCTGGCCTGTCATGTTGGTGTTACATCCTTGTTGGAGTGGCTGTTGTTTCTCCCCTGGGCTCTGAGAAGGAGCTCTTTGAGTAAGATGGCTAATGTCCTAAGAGGAAGTGATTCAATGTAAAACTTCCAGTGTCCTACTTTCCAGCTCTCTCCCCTGAACCACTGACCCCCAACTCTCTTCACACAATTTTAATCCAGTCCCCTCTCCCTCTGCTGGAGCCCAAGGTGAGTGTCAGTAGCTGATATGGTGCTCTTTTAATCTCCAACTTCTCATTGGGAACTGCTCACAGCTAAAGCAGCCCTCAGCATGGCCTCCCTGCCCACCCTCTCATGCTTCTGCATTTTCTACCAGGCTTGATTTGGTGTCCTCTTAGTATCCCAGGTTATACAAGTTATCTCCAGCTGCTTTTCATCTTTTTTTTTTTCCTGATGATTTTTCTTAGTTGTAATTTCAGTTTGGTCCTGGGAGACAGTCTGTGTGACTTCCATTTACTCTGCTGCCATTTTTTTCTGCCTTGTTTCTTTAGTATGCTCTGATCTCATTTGCTGTATAGAAGAATCTGCTCTAAATCTCTGAAACTAGCTTTTCCCAAGGTGATGCATGGCCTCAATATTTTGATTATTAACTATATACAGCATTGAATCTACTCAGAAAGAGTAATCTAAGATATATTACCATGGCATTCTTTAGCATAGTACCTTCATAAAGCTAAGGCTTAGTTTGATAATTCAATGAATATTAATACAGTTTATGTCCATTGCAATTGCATTTTTGCAACATTACTATCTTTTTTTAATTGTGTGTTATATTAAATAAAAATGTGTAGTAAGTCAGTAGACTGGGGACTGTTTTTTGTTTTGATTTGTTTTCTTTTCTTTCTTTTTTTTTGTCATCCTTGAAGATATTTAGTCCAATTAATTTAGCTTTATATTTTTTAATGGAAAGAGTATATTTTTAATGTGTCAAATGTGTAACTCCAATAAAACTCTGACTACCAAAGCAACCCTCTGTAATCATTTTGGCAGCACATATACTGAAATTGGAATGATATAGAGAAGATTAGCATGTCCCTTGTGCAAGGATGGCATGCAAAGCACACTCAAGATACTCAATAAATATTAATTCTTTGATTTATAACAAAAACCTTTCTTGTGTTGTCTATCCAGGCCTCAATATTAGTAAGACTGATTGTGAAAAAGGCAGAATAGATTTTGATGTTCCAAATTACTGAGATAGTTCAGTAGAGAAACTTTTCTTGAATTGCTGATGTCAGAAAGTTTGACATGTTTCCATGGTCCATGCTTTGTTCCCATTACCTTGACCATAGAATAAGAAAAGCACAATTCAAGTTTTTTGTTTTCTTATTCTGCCTTTTTAATTAGGAGAAGGAAAAGAAAATTAATTTTCTTACTATTCAGAAGATAAAGAAAGTCAGAGTCAAAACTGTAGATGTTTAATGTTCATAACTTAAAATCATGTAGTTGTTTACATGTGTTCATGGTAACTGCTTGGGTGAATGTGTGACTACCCTTACAAACATAGTGAAAGTTTTTTGTTTTGGTTTTTAACCCCAAGATTTAGAATTCAGCAATGTGGTTATGTATTCTTATTGTGTCATTGCATTTTTAATTTTTTGAAATTGAATTATATTAGCAAATTTTATTACTAAAGATAAAGAAACTTAACTGAATGCAACATTACAGTATTTAAGCGTACACACAGGTGATTAGGAGACTGTCTGCAATATATATTAACTTTCTAGCTCCCTTAATTACTAAAATTTAGTTATTCAGAAATCACATTATAGGTACAGGTTACTTTGGGTTTTCTGTGGAATCAGTGTGCATAACATATATCAAGCTTCAAGAGAAAAATATCTGTAATATCCTAGTCAGTTCACCTGTCTAATGAAATAATTTGAGAGCAGTGAGCATAAGATTAAATGTATAAGTGAATAAATTATGTCCCTTGTTTAGCAGTTGTGCAAAAGTATGACTGCATTCAGCAATTCATTGACTACTAATGAAGCTTTTAATAATCCACTGGATAGACAGTCCTTTTAACTAGCAAAATCTGACCTTTATATGGATACTATCCTTTTAAATTGTTTTATCTTGTTGTTTCATAGCACTGTTTTTCTTTATTGGCACATAAAGTACTTTCTTAGTTTTAGAAAGCACATATACATTTCCTGGAAAATAATCAAAAAGAATTAAATAAAATTATACAATTAATTTTAGTTTAAACTGCTGAAAAGAGATATGCACCATAGTCATTAAAGATCTCATTTGCTGGATTTATTATCTTTTCTTCTAAGTTCATTAAGAAAGAATCCAGCAAAGGGCTAAGGTCTCAATAAATTTTAATGGGCATGACCAAGGTTTAATAAAGTATGTCTTTTAATTGCCTGAAATTAAGGTAAATTGTAGCTTTAGTTTGTTATTGATAGAAAAGAGATTTTAATCAAGAGGTACAAAATAGTTTTCCAAAAGAAACTGATAAAGATTGTAACCTACAAAAAAAGAATATTGGTTTTTCTACATAAAATATCTATTAACATAAATTTCAAAAATAAATGAAGAAAACTGGCCACTAACTAAAAATAACACAATGCATTTTTAAATATAAATGCTGATACAGATATAGCAGATGGTGGATACCAAAAGCCATCTGCCATCACATTGTTTGTGACTAAACAGTAAACTATCCAAGGCTCTTAATATCTGTGTATGGATGGCAAGTAGTATAATATAAAAGCTGTCTAAAATGACATTCTTGTAGCCTTCAATCATTAACCAGCCAGTCAAATATTTTGGTGGGACAAAGGTCTTTTTTTTTTTTTTTTTTTTTTTTTTTTCAAAATGGTATTGGGTAAATAATATTTTGTTTTGAGATATTTTTTGCTTGGCTGAAGTAGTGTTGGCCAGTTGCTAATAAGATGAATGCTGTAATGAACAAATTCATCCTCAGCCCTATTAGCTAAGTCAAATCGCCTATGAAATTTTAGATGTTTTGGAAAGCTCAATCCCTATGAATTGTAGAAAAAGAACACAGCCCCCTGGCCAGTGTGACTCAGTGGCTGAGTGTTGACCCATGCACCAAGAGTTTGCCAGTTTGATTCCTGATCATGGCACATGCCCAGGTTGTGGGCCAAATCCCCAGTGTGGGGCATGCAGGAGAGAGCCAACTGATGTTTCTCTCTCTCTTTCTTTCTCTCTCTCTCTCTAAAATTAATAAAGAATTTTTTTTTAAAAAAAAAGAAGAAAAAGAACACAGCCTACTAAGAAGATTTCTAGTTCAATCTCAGTAGATTAGCATATTAACTCTCATATAATTTCAGTGAAACAAAGAACACACTTCTTCTGAAAGCCAGTAAATAAAGTTTTATTTTATTTAACAATTTATGAATAATAAATCTATGTTATTTATATATTTCTTCAAGAAACCAGTTTTTTAGAACACAGGGATAATGGAATCTGTGTTCTTTGTGCATGAGTTTGTGTGAATATGTGTGTTATGGGTATAATGGGTACTTTTATATGTCAGGTTACATAGGGTTTGGTGCCCAATTGTTTGGTCAAACACTTCTATAAATATAACTGTAAAGATATTTGTATATGTGATAAAAAATTAACAGTTTACTTTAAGTCATATTAAATTCCATAATGTGAGTGGACATCATTTATTCAGTTCAAGGCCTTAAGATCAAAGGCTAAATTACCCCAAATAAATAATATCCATGTTCCACTCTGCTGGCCTGTCCTATGGATTTCAGACTCAAAACTGCAACATCAATTCTGATCTGAATTTACATCTTGCTGACTTATACAAATTTCAGATTTGCCATTCTCCATAATGACATGATCATGTTACATAGTTCCTCAAAATAATTCAATCCCTCTTGATAGAAATATAGAGATACTTATATGTATAGATATAGATCCTATTGTTTCTGTTTCTTGGGAGAACCCTTACTGATACGTGTGTCTTACAACTTTGTCCTAGACATATATCTCACAAAGCATGCATTTTATCCAAAAGGAAGAGCATGTGAGTATGAATAGCATGCTATAAACTAACAACCACTAAAAAAATCTTAGTGTTTTTATTCTTTTTACAGAGGACCTAGGATGGGGGAAGAAGAGAGTACAAAAAGAAAAGAAGGTTTTAAAACTAATTTAAATGCTCAACATCATTAATCATCAGAGAGATGCAAATTAAAACAACAATGAGGTATCGGTATCACCTCACACCTGTCAGAATGGCCGCCATCAACAAATCATCACAAAAGTGTTGGCAAGAGTATGGAGAAAAGGGGACACTAATACACTGTTAGTGGGAATGCAGACTGGAGCAGCCAATATGGAAAACAATATGGTGTTACCTCAAAAAATTTAAAATTGAACTCCCATTTGACCCAGTGATCCCACTTCTAGGAATATACACTAAGAAGCCTGAAACACCAATCAGAAAGAATATATGTACCCCCATGTTCATAGCAGCACTACTTACAATAGCTAAGATCTGGAAACAGCCCAAATGTCCATCAGTAGATGAATGGATAAGAAAGCTGTGGCACATATACACAATGGAGTACTATGAAGCTGTAAGAAAGAAAGATCTCTTATCCTTTGAGACGACATGGAGGGACCTGGAAAGTATTATCCTAAGCGAAACAAGCCAGAGAAAGACAAGTATCATATGATCTCACTTACTTGTGGAATATGATGAACATAACAGTTTGAGGAATGGGGTAATCCCAGAGACGTGGAAGTGGGGTACAGATTGACAATCCCCAGAAGAAGGGGTGGTGGGGGAGAGATAAATCACAGAACTTATATGCATGAATGCATGAAAAATGGACATGGACAACAAAGCTGGGGACAGGGCGGAGAGAGAGGGGGAGGGTGGAATCAGTAGGGCGGAAAAGAGAAACAACTGTAACAAAAATAAACTAATTAATTTTTAAAAAATAACTTAAAACTCCAAGGTAAATGAGATTTTTGTCATCATCATTCAGTATTTCAAGAAAAGCATAAAATTCAAATTTGATGCCTGACAAGGAGACTAGTAAATGAGACTGTTTTGTAAAAATCAGTATACCTATACCTCACACTCATACTATTAAGGGGACTTCTGATTTGGGTTTCTTTTCAGCTCCTTATTACCACTTCCACAATGCCTCAGACATTTTTGAGTTGACATTCATGTTCAACTTTCTTGGCAAACAAACAAGCACAAAGACTAATTAGGTCTTGAGCACTTTATATTCCCAGTCTGTGGCACAATTCAGCGGACTTGTATCACTTTATATTTTCATCTGGTGACACAGTGCAGTGGACTTGCATCCTTTTGCACTAATTGTGACAATGCCAAATATGTGTGTCAATATGTTGGTCTCTTTTTGTTTGTTTGTTTGTTTGTTTGTTTGTTTGTTTGTTTTTGTGCTCAGGCTAACTCAGTAATGACTACAGAATCAACATAGTTAGTTGAAAATTATGTGTGGAATGAACAAAATCTCTGGCCTGTGCATTCACAGAATGCAGAATACAGAGGAAATGCTGCACAGAACTGCTCTGCAGTTTAGTTCATAGATATCACAATATAGTGCTAAATCAAGAAGGGGAAGAATGAAACCCTCAAAATTTGGGCATATTAAACTTTCCTTTATTAAATTCTAGTATTCCTTATTTGTGTTTGGCTATTTTCTTAAATTTATTTTAAAATACCCGATAGATGCTTTAATTGTACAAATTAAGAACAATAGTAAATATTGATGCTTAAAACTCTAGACACTCTAGAGACAAGAGGAGAAATCTTTTCCAAGTGCAATTTATTTCATGTCAAAGAGGTCTTTCTCACTATGTTTTCCCTAAGCAACCTGCATATTATATATCTAATGGTTCATATACTACTAATTGTCTTTTTATTTTTCATTTGTTTGTGGTTTTTGTATATGATTAATGCTAATGCAAAATATGTTAACTTGCCCTGGCCGGTTTGGCTCAGTAGTTAGAGCGTTGGCCCGTGGACCAGAGAGTCCAGGGTTTGGTTCCCGCTAAGGGCACATACCTCAGTTGCAGTTTGGCCCCAGCCCTAGTTAGGGTCATGTGGGTGGCAA